AAACCTGTAGGGTAACTATGAGGCAGTTCAAAAAAATAAAAACGTGGGAAATGAAAAGCTGACCAAAGTAGAGAAAAGGAAATACAAGTGGACATTCTCTGAAGTTCGAAAACTATTGAAAATTCTACTACTCATGCATCGTAAAGTAATATAAAAGTCAGAATGGTGTGCACATAATGACCGGAAAAGGTAATGGGAAAACAAACTATAAGTAACGCATAAGAGCCGGACCCACACTTCCTCCATTCCTCTTACCAATGCCCCCTGGACCACCAAGGCACCTCAAACAAAAGCAGCAATAAAAGCACAAAGTCATAGAAAATTGCAATAAAACCACACCGGTAAATGAGTCATCACCGAAAATTACATCGGTAGGCTAAGCAATGGCAAATCGAGATTTAAGAAAAACCGTAAGCTAAATACACATGAGAAAGTAGCAAGCAGCACACACAAGACATCACATTCCTGAGTGGGATCAAACCGTCTTTATCTTCTCCCGTTCTGGCTTTGCAAAATGCATGTAGACATGAATAAGAACGAGGAACGAGCAAAGTATAATTGGTCCGATTATTGCGCCCTGGAAAAGATTTGATTAGTTTTGCTTTGCTGAACAACCATATTTAAGATCTGGTTATACACTCATTTTGCGTCAATCACTTATGGTGAAAATGGGCCACGGCTAAGAGGGATGCTAAATTCCCAGCTTATCAGATCTAATGTGGGCCCAGGTCAAACGAGCTATCGACTCCTACAAACTCGCTTAACATGTTTGGGAAGGGCGTGCTTCTATCAGTAGTGCACACAAAAACTCTTCTTTCAGCCATTTGTTTCCGTTGTTGCCGTTTTCGTTTTCTCCGCTTTTCGTGATTTTTTTTCTTCATTTTTACCAAAAACCAGTACGGATCGCCGGCTTAACCCGAAAGCTCTGCCTCCTTCATGGAAGCCCGGCTTCGCCGGCTCATGCAACTGCTTTAGAGTCGTGACTAATCGCTGTCTTCTAATCAAATGAATGTAGAAACGCGCCATATGATCGCAGGGCACTTTCATAATGAAAAGTTCAAAATCTGGTCATGGATAATCGATTACTCTCCTCCCCATCTCATGACAGCCATGGATGCTTCGGTCTCCGCAGCGTGCTCCTGTTCAGGCGAGCGTCGGTCGCGCCAATATGGTACCCCTTCACCTCACCTATCCCGAAAACTAACCACAGCTTTCCCACGCTCAGCTGCTACGCGAATAGCCCGTGCAATGGTTCTGAGTGCACTAAATGGTTGTGTTATGTTGTGGAGGGTGTTATGACTATCAAAACGCTACCACAATTTGATAATGCAACATTAATCGGTTCAGTTCCGATTGCGGTCGATCCATTTTCTTCATCTTATCGCAACCGTAGACGCCTTACCGCCGCAGGCGCTATGTGCTCCTAATCGCGAAATCGCCGTTCTCATCTGGTATCCCCTCACCACATCATATCCCAGTGACCCTATTTAACTGGCGCCCACTCCCGCACGTGGATGCAGCCGCCACGTGAGCAGCTGGTGCAACATAGGGCCACTGTTCTTACCACCACCTTTTCGTGCTCACGTCCAGCTCCCTAAGCGAGCAGCCCCTGCCAATAGCACAGAGTCTATCACAGTGGTTGGCTTAGATAGGGGAGCTATTCACAATCCAAACAGCTTCCTAGTTCGTTGCTGTAACATGGATTAGCTTGCAGTTTTGCTAGGGGTTCTTTCCTTCTGTCTTGCCGCCTGCTCCTATCCAAGCGTACGCTACGCATCCCCTTACTGTACCCAGTTTGCCCGATTCAATCCATATGCCTCCTTCCCCTGCATGGGCTCAGATCCGACTGAGTACGCGCAAGGGAGTGAGGATGGGAGAAGGGGGTCACTCGATACTAACTCCCACCTTCCTCACCTCACCCCATTCCGTACTCGCCACTCCACCCCCCCCCCCACCCCCTTCCCCCCGCGACCCCTTCCCTCTGCCTCCCTCCAATACATGTGCTCAGCTCCGGCTGAGCACATGCAGGAGGAGGCAGGGCGACCTGGCACCCCCACCCTGCCCCCGCACGAGCACACGTCCAGCTGCCACGGCAGCAGCTCGTGCAATGGCTCGGAGTGTACCGAGTGGTTGTCTTATATATGCTGTTATCACAATCAAAACATTGGATTGATACATCTGCACCGATGGGTTCCGGTTTGGCTAGCGGTCGTTTTCTTCTTTCACTAACGTGTTTAATCCCGTAAAGCATTTTGCGGACGGACAGACATACAAACCGACATACATACATACATACATACACTACATACCGACAAACCGACACACAAAGTTTCTGCTTTATAGAATGTAAGGATTATGTGCATAAATAATATTGCGAACATTCAGTGTATTCCCGGACAAACGGTACTGACTTCAAGCGCACGCCTGGGAGCGTGAATCAAGCCATGAGTTTTTGCTAAAGTTGTGTAACAGCCGACACGTCGTTTGAATTGATTCCTCCTTGTACCCTTATGCTTGTGCATATGGTTCCTACACCTAAGCAAATTCCTCGATAAGTCCCCCTTACGATGTCCTTTCTAAACTCGGTGACAGGTAGGGAAAGTTGCAAATCTGTGCTACTTTGTAGAGCCCAGGCATTCGTCATCGCACACTGACAGACAAGATTGAAGAAACTCTCAAGTGCATCCGAAACGTTTTCCTTTGGAAGGGGCAGTAGCTGGCCATCTGGCAGGACAAGTCAATGAAGGACACGCAATTTGTAATTCATAATGATATTTGGCGAAATGGCGCCGGCCGCGAATGTTTCAAAAGCACGGTGTACGATTGACTGGAAGCTGACGTTCGCACGGAGGCCGTGTTCCAGTACACCAAGGCTGTTCCACTGTCCCATCGCGAAAGGACCTCGCAATGACGTAAGGAGGTGGAAGCATGGAGGTTCCATTCTCCTGCGTAACTTCGTGCCTCCTCACTGACGAATACTTGTGCGGTTCGGATTGCTCGCATTTTATGCTGGCAGAAATCACTGCGCGGAAGTTCAAGACTTTATCGCGGAGTCAACGCAGCTCGCGCCAGGCTGGCTCGAATGGCAGGAGCGCAATATATGAAATGAAGTTCCGACACTCACTTGTGTGCCAAAGCGGAGCGCACGTTGCCCTTGTACCACTTCATTGATGTTCGCGCCAGCCGCAAGGACTTACCCTTTCTGACTGCCTGCCATTATGATCGTTCCCTTTGCTGTGACATAGTCTTACCAAAGGGAAAGAGCAGGCTAGTTTTTTGTTGACTTTTGCCGAAGGGGCAAAAAATCAAGGAAAAACTAACAAAGGTAAATTGTGACAAAGATTCAGGATTCATGTCCTCGTCGCAGGCATTTCTTGATTCATTTGATCGAAATCATTCATTCATGTCAAAACCACTAGTTTTTGACGAGGAAAAAAATGTGCCGTCCCACGCGCAAGTATGGAAAAAATGGCTCGTCGTCAGCGTGTTAGAGGCGCGGGAGCAGCAACGGCGATGGAATGGACACATGTTCAGAGGTCCCGAGGATCATCCTATAGGAGAAGCAACGATTTTAGAAGCCCTCGGCAAGTGACCACAAGGAGCCACTGAGAATACGCAGAAGGATTGGCAAAAAGAGTGGCAGCGCGAGAATAACGCTAAGGAGAAAAGAAAAAGAAAAGACCGAAACCTGATTAAAAACCCAAAATGGCAGAACTTACTTGTAATCCAAGCCAATACATGCCTCCGAGGATTGACAGACCCGTCACGTAAGGATGAGAGAACCTGAATAGAACACTATTATCCTTGTGCGAGATCCAAAGGCACTAGACTTACTTGACTTCTCTGTAGAACGTCGCATCAACAAACATCTGCGGTGCGAAGGACATGATGGCGAATACAATCGCTACCGACAGCTCGCCTCTTACCTACAAAACAGACGAATGCAATGCGTGAGCTACGTTTTCAGGCAAAACTAGGAGCACACACTTACCAGCCACAACTCTAGAAATCCAAATATGCACACAATGTACGGTGGCATTATCGGAATTGCGGCGAAGAGAGCGGCAAGCACTAGAAATAGAACATAATAAACAAAAAAAGCAAAAAGCGAAAAAAGTATAACTATTAAAAAGTAAGCTCCAGTGATGCGCCAACAGAATGGATACAGCTATTTCACTATCATACGTGCCATGTGGAGAAGCGCCATTTCCGGAAACGCGTGATTCCACGGATCGCATAAAACTGCGTTTATACTTTGCGGCACTTTACTGTACGCCAGTAATGTCGAGGCCCCGACGCGCACTTTCCAGCCGTTCGGCAGCGGGCTGTGACAAGGAAGGCATGGATATCGTTCGAGCGTCACGAGCGACGCTAACGTTAACGCGTACAGTATCTAGGTACGCCTAGCCATAATTGCTAGAATGCCCTAGCGTTACGCTGGCGCCACGATAGTCGTAGCCGAGGCAAGGAAGGCATAGGTATCGCTTTGGCGTTGTCAGGTATATATGTGGTGTGCATGTATGTATGCTATATGTAATATATACGGTTTGGGTTTTCTCTGAAGGGTTTGGCGATCTAGGCTCCGCCCCCTTGACCACGCCGACTTGCTTTTTGCGGAATTTTGTTATTTGTTTCATTTTCATTTTTGGTGTGTTACGGGAAGCGCTGCCCGCTGTGAGAGGCTCCGCACACTCCGAAGAACCCTGCCCACTTCTCAAAAATGGCGCAAATTGTCAGCTATAGAGTCTGGGCTTGCGCAAGCTAAGAATCTAGTCCGTCACTCGAACAAAAAAAAATCAGGCCCAAGTTATTCGAGCTGACAGAGGACCTAGCAGCAAGCCAAAGACCCCCTATTACTGCCGGGCCTGCACTTTCTGGAAAGTCGGGCGGATCTTGCATCGGAAAGCGGGCGAGCCTCTCACATTGGGCGGGGCTTCACGTAGCAAACCAAAAAAGCAAAAATGTTGAAAAAATATCAAAATTCCGCAAAAGCAAGTGCGTGGTCAAGGAGGCAGAGCCTAGATCGCCAAACCCTTTAGAGAAATATCTATTATATCTCTATATGACGCTAGATCGATATCCATCCTTCCCTTGCCACTGCCGATGCCGCACGCTGGAAACGCTAGCATACGCTAGTGTACGCTGGCGTACGCTGCCGCAAAGTATAAACGCAGCCTAAGAGGCCTGTGGATCCGCGATTTCACAAGAAATAGGGAAATGGGATTGAAGCGAATCGCGTCTTCTGAATCGGGAATTAACCAAACGATATGTCCACTCATTTTTGTCGCCGATTCTTCGCTAGAAACGCCCAGTTACGCACCCACTAACACCGCCCACGGTGCGAGACTCCGAACGCTTTGCGTAACTTCAGCACAATTTCAGCAAAGCGCCCCAAATCACAGGCCAGAGTCTTCACATGAGTGGGTGGAGTCCCGCTCGTCAATCCGACCAGAAACCCAATCAAGGTTTCCTCCGAGCGACGACGACTCTGAACTACTAACTGAGACTCCATCCTGTTAATTTGGAACACTTTCCGAAAATTGCCCGGACACGCAAGGGTGTGCGGGAGGTGGGGGGGGGGGCTTCCCGTCGCGAGCAGAGCTGCTGGGTGCAGAGCAGAAAAATGAAGGCTTGGAAAGGGGTCAAAATTAGTAAAATCCACGAAACACCTCGAAGTGGACATGTCTTACGGGACGGAGCTTACTGTGTCAGTGTGTATATGAGCTATACGAGTACATTCGTCGTGTAAAGAGTGGAAACAACGACGTTCATAAAATTTTGAAAATTCAATATTAGCCGCAAAATTCCTTATAAAGGGAGTCCTGTCGCCCTTGTATAATGAGCCTATATCGGACAGTCCTCATCATTGCAGACCGGCCCGTGCCGGGGCGTGTCAGAGCCAGAAGGACAGCCACACCATTGTCTGGGCGGTTCCTCAGACTTTTTTGTCGTGCCAACGCGTATGCCGACCACAAGGTATAAACGGCAGTAATACGACGGAAGATTAGATAACCAGTATTGCCTTGCGCCGCTTCAAAAACTGCGATGCAGAGGACGATTTTGCCGAACTCACGCACCCAAACGCTAGGGCGACTGGCCACCCCGCACCGTGTCTGCAATGAGAGACGTATATTCGCTCGTGTAAAAGTGGAAACCACGACGTTCACCAAAATATGTGAACTAATTCCGCAATATTAGCCGCAAGCATTCCTGGTATAAGAGGGCCAGGGGTGAGCCGTCTAAAGTGTTACGTACTCTGATCAGATACCTTATTTGTTTTTTTTATATTTTCAGTTACTATGTCTAGTTCCAAAAAATGAGATACACTGAGAAACTCAAAGCAGAAAGCTCTCAATAGCCTCAGAAATCTTAAGCGCTGAGCATTCACACCGGCCAGAGCACTCAGCTGCCATGGAGCGACACCTTCATGTTCTCAAATCAACAGAGGCGGCTAGGCACGAAGTACGTGTACAGTCCATTAGGAAAACCCTGGCCATTTTCAGCGACGATAAGACGAGAAATCACTAAAACATTGAAAACAGCGTTGTTCAACTTTGGCACGTCAAAAATAGCCCGAAACGTGCAGCTGAGATAGAACATCTTGCGGCAAAAAGTTTCCAAGAAAGGGATTTCATTGATCAAAATTTTAATACTTACAAAATAGCTTGCTCAATGGCACCAGTGACATCGTAATTCGTAGCTGACGAAGTTGACCAACACGTGTGGAGGGACTTGACGTATCAGAGATTGTAGCCAACTGAGCCATATCATTGAACCACTGAATCGGTAGCCAGCGATCCCGTGACGCTGACAAAAGGTAGTAGACCATTGTGAGGAAGACAACCTGCAGAGATGAAATTGCTTCCTGTCCAAGCCATAGAAAAATGAAAACGGTACGATGGCTCACTATTTCGATGACAGTGTGGAGTATATCCATTCCGAAGTCTAGCAAAATAGAAGCAAATGCGGCCATCAGCGATAGGACAAAGGTTAGATTAACCGACAGCACAGACCATAGGGAACGCGCTATCTAAATCCTTTTTTTCGCATTAATTAATTCTAACGAAAATCAAGAGAAGAATGAAAACTTAAGAGGTAACATGCTGTTGTTCAAATAGCTTACACCCATCAGTGTATCGAGGTTTTCCTTCACTATCAGGGTTATCTCCTGCTTCAGAGCACGCAAATCTGTGATCGACATTAACTGCGCTTTCCAATCTCGTACTTCACCCTCCGGTGTAGCAGCGGCTTAAATGTTGTTTCTCATGACAACAGAGATCGTGAAATAAGAGATAAACAGTCAAATGAAAAAAAAACAAAAATAAGAACAAGTAATGAAGAAAAAACAATTGAACATACTTGGCACAACACTATCTCTTTCTTCCCACATTTTATATATCTTGTCCACGATCTGAAAAAGTGAGATGACTGGTGGTTCCGTATTTACGTGCAATCGCGTTTGCTGCAGACGCTGGGCGTGTCAGGGGAGTGGGGGTGTGGGGCTGACTTTGGCGTGGCGCCAGCCCGTTTTTAACCGTTGATACGGTCAGCGACAACGAAAAGTGAAAGTGAGTCGAACTAACGCAGTGCCAAGGTTGGAAAGGATAAGCAAACTAGATGAGCTTGGTAGCGACCCCGGAGGAAAGGAAAGCTTGGTTGACTCGGACGGGAGGTGACCCAGGACTTCAACACGGGACTATGAGCGTGATAACCCGACCACTTGTCACTATACCAACTATGCCCAACACCGCCACCTCAGCAGCAATAAACTGATGTCTGTAAAACTGAAGGAAAAAATATTAGGTTGTCCGGAAAGTTCTGCACGTTTTGTGTTACTATTTTTTGAACATTCATTGCTGATTAAAAACTCACTTCTCCCTTGCGTCTCAGTAGTACATCCTGAAGAGAATTCTTTGCGCTATCTGA